AAATAAATAAATAAATAAATAAATAAATAAATAATAAATAATAAATAATGGGATTAACAGTGGATTCCACAGACAATCCTACTCCCATAGCCCGAGAATCGAACCCGGGTCACAGTGGTGAGAGGTGAGTGCTGTCACCGCTACACCTATACCGTGCTTACCATAATAGGGACCTTAAGCTGCAGGACGGCAACTTGGGCGACAACGTCGGTAAAATTGAAGCGCTTCAACCTTCTATTGTATTATTATTTCGTGTTTACCTAGCATTTTATTCAATAAGCATCCCCGTTTTAGAGTAAAATGGCGTCTTTTGGGAGCGCTTTACTTATAACGAAAATCAGCAAAGATAAGCTTTTGGCGTAGCCGTTCTCTTTAGTACGTAAAAATAGGACATTTCACGTCTTACTTACAGCATAACACGGCAATGTTGCACGATATTTCGTACATTCCAACGAGTATCTATTGAATAGCGAAATTAGTGCTATTGTATGTTTGCCGTCGTCGTCGTCGTTGCCGTCCTGCAGCTTAAGGTCCCTAATGACTATAAAGGTGGTCACTAATACGACATGGCTTTGGTCGCTGAATAAGATGCCGACATTTCTACTTGGTACAAGATACTAGGTTTTGAGATTTTAAAAAAGGCTTAATAGTAAATTGGTCTGCAAAAATTATTGCCGGATCTACTTACTTTGGATGCAGCTCTCCTCTCTCTCCATCTTCGTACTGCATTCTCTTCTTCAATTTTTCTTGTAGCGTTCTTCTTCTACGCTCCAAATCTTGCCATGTTTCGTGTCCATCTTTCAGGGTTGGCATCAACAGTGGAGTAACATTAACACTCTTTGAAAGAGGGCTAAAAGTTGAGGCGTCTCCTCCCCGATGCTTTACTTCGGACGACAGAGGCCGAGAACTTTCAGGCGAAGTCTTGTCAGTTGTCTTGGTGGGAACCTGAAATTGTTTTTCTTCGGCTGATGGAGTCGAAGGTTGGGATGCATATTCTTGCGATTCCAGTATTTCTTGGTGACTCAAAGTTTCGAACGTTGAAACAAGCTCTAGGCAAGAATCCTCTTTCCTCATGGGAGTTTCTGTACAATCAGGAGTCACACCACGTGACGGTGAGTCTCGTGGGGCCGTGTCACGTGACGGCTCGGAAAAATAGTTTTCCATGCTTTGACTTCCCAACGAAAGACCGTCTTCTTCTTTAGCCGGCAATGTTTGATCAGCTTGAGTACCATCGGTATCATCATTCGCGACTTCTTGAGCCTCGCTTGCCATTTCCAAGCTTGCTGCAATATTCATATCATCCTTTGTATCTGCCTTAGAAACAATGTCTATTGGTGTGGTTTTCTTGTTTTTGGCAATGTCTTCATTACTAAGTATCTCTTTTCCAGAATAAACTAATTTTCGCTTTGGTTGTGCGATATCGCCCTGCGAAGGTAGTGACTCATGAGAAATAGTCGTAGCATCGCCAGGAAGGCAAGCATGGGCGGCTTTACTATGAGAATAGAATTTCTCTTGGCCATCGTATGTGTTTGTTCGTTGATGTATTATGTAGCTCTTTCCACGTATTTCTGTAGATTTCGATCGCCTGTGTCCTTTAAAACCTTGTTTCTCCAGAAACGTTTTGAACTCTTTGCCCTGACTTTCAGAGGATGGTGTCCTGCGGTGTCCTGGCGCACTTTTGATGCTATCCGATGATATTTTCCGTGTTAGAAGCTGCGGAGGAGTTCCACTAGAAATCTCTTGGCTTTCACTGTCTTTCTGTGCTTTATTCTGTYCTAAATCTAGCTTTGGTGTATCGGGCCTAAGCGCCTTCGACGAAGGAGAAATAGAAGAAGGTGTAGGCGGCTCAGAAAGAGACCTGAGACGATAGCTGATATCAATCTGGTACTCTGGAGGAATGGATGAGAGAGGCGCAGGAAGCAACAGATATTCCATAAGGAGGTCACATAACGCATGTTGGGTGATGCACTTTAGTTGTTTACCCAGTTGATCATCGAGTCCAATGTTACCACGTTCCCACACTGAGAACTGGATGATACAGTTGTCATCTGAAAAAGAACGAATCGTTTACCTAAACGTACAATTAACATACATAATGCTGGGAGTATCTTTAGTATTATTCTGTCAACTAGGGGAAAACTACTGTGAGTTATGGCAAACATTCTATTAGGTATTTAGGACCACATATTTGGCCAAAGCTATGTGCAGCTCGCGAGTCGACAGCTATTTATTCTTAAATATTTATCTTATTATATATATATTTCACATAAGAAATTCAATATAGTTTAACTCTATTAATAGATATATAGATATAGGTATAATTTTTTCTATATTTTAAATAATAACTTTTTTATTTTAATATTATTTTTCTTTCTTGAAAACGAATATTTATTTTCCCACAAAACTTTTCTCCGAAAGGCACGCATGCGCAAACGTTTTTCTCAAGTAACCATCATGGGTTCAAAACAAATAATGCGGCTAAAAGCAAGAGTATGATTCCATATATATTCCTGAGACAGAGCGTTTACCTAGATATGTATCGTCTGACAGCATATTGACTCTTGTTAGCTCCTCGTAAAAGTTTCGATCCAAGTGATCAACATTGATGGACGGTATCCTAGCAACGGTGAAATGGACTGGATCTTGATTTCTGTCCACAACTTTCATGGAAATACATGCCAATCCTAAAAAAATACCAATATAGTGGTTTCAAGTTTGGTTGTGCTTTGGTAAACCATCACTAAACCATTAATGCCGAGAACTTTGGAGGAGGAACAAGAAGATTAATGGCCAAAACGTAAACGTTTTGTATTATTATTTACTATTCATCATAGACCCAGGCAGTTGTGATCTTTTCTCACCTTCGTAGCATCCGCAAGTGCCTTTCAAATCGTCCACGTGATGCCAATGTTGTACCACGTGGACACGTTTTTTACAACACGTGACCTAAGTGCAGTCACGTTTTTATCACGTGGCGTAAAAAAACTTGTCCACATGGTACAACATTGGCATCACGTGGACGATTTGAAAGGCACTTCTAATTAACATAACAGACGCTACGAAGGCGACAAAAAATCACAACTGCCTCTGTCTACTGGGAAGAGTATATCTAGCATCGTGAAAAAATGTTAGAGCGATTTTCGTATGAGTGGGAAACGATAAGGCCAATTCGTAGTCATACTGTACCCTTACCATATCTTACCCTTAACCGTAAATACGTGTTGTGGAAGACAGTAAAAAACTATTTTAATGCTACGGCATGTCGTACCGTGTACGTGTTGTAAGTGAGTAATGTATGCCTTGAAAATAATATATTGCTAGCAATAAATTTGAACAAAATACCTTTGCCACCAGAGGAGTGAGGTCGATTGTAAAGAAAGATCTCACACGTCCCGTTATCCTCTGGGTCTCTAAACTGTTGACGTGGTTTCAAGTCCGCGTACCTCGGGATGTGAAGCACTTGAAGAAGGTTTTGTTTCAGGTAGTAAAAGAAAGGGTAAATGTAGCCCATGTCTAGAGGTGGGATTACGACGGCTAGTTTAGCATTGGGTAGTTTGCCTGGCGGCTGAATGAACTGCAAGAGAGCAATAAAACATCATATATTACCATGTGGATCATATACTACATGACAGAACATATGCACGATGATGGCGAAGAACGAGATAATGATTTGACTATACTGATGCTGCGGGTGATGGCGGTGACGATGATGTCTATGATGAGAGTATTTTGGTTATGGTGTTGGTGAGGATGATGTTGATCATGACGAAGAAGAAGATGATGATGGCGATGTGGATGATGTTGATGATGATGATAATGACGATGTTGATCATGATGATGATGATGACAATGATGATGACGATGTTGACCTTGATGATGATGGCGATGGTGATGAAGATGATGATAATGGTGGTGATAGTGATAATTGTAGTGATCATGGTGGATCGAGGTGGTGTTGTTGGTGGCATGGTGATGAAGATGATGGTGTTGATAGTGATAATGGTAGTGATCATGGTGGATCGAGGTGGTGATGTTGGCGGTATGGTGATGGTGATGATGGTGGTGGTGATAGTGGTAGCAGTTAAATATGGCCTATATGCTACAGTGCACATTATTGTAAATTTCTGCTTTTGCTGATGATGCTGGTCAGTGTTTGTGATGCTCCTGTAATTACTAATAAAAACTGATGATAATGAATGTGAAGTGATAACCTTACCCTAACATCCGAGTAGTTGAGTTTGCTGTTAGGATTCCTAGAGAGCAGGAAAGCAAGGTTATCAAGAGTGGCGTCATTCAGACGATTGTTCAGTACTTCAATCAAATCCACGGTTATTTCTGTGCCAGGTTCGTCTACCCCATACACATGCAGGGCGATACTTTGTTCTACTTTGTCACCAAATGGGAGGCCAACCGTTAGCCTTTTATTGTTCGATCTTGGTTCCTAAAACAAGGAAGACAAAAGTCCTGAATAAGCTACCAGTTTAAGCACTAGAATACTCTCATTCTTCTCACAAGAAAACCTAAATCATGTTAATGTTCATTTCGATTTCTATGTTTGGACTCAGATCCCGATCCCCATGGCTTTTTCAGAATTTTTTTTTTCAATTTCAATTTTGCGATTCTCTACTTTCACATTCCCATAATACTTTGCGTTTTTGGGGGGTAACCAGAGGGTAAAAACCCACTTATTTTACTGAAGGCTGATCAGACAATGTTGACAATACCTTGTTTGGTATCCAAATATAAAATGAAGAAGTAAAAAACAGAAAAAGATAAAAGCTTGAAGACGTTTAAAGTAAATTTTAAACATTTTTTCGCAAGTCAATACATTTTCTGTAAGACCAAAACTCTTGATGATCTGTACACGCAAAAATAACTTGGAATAAACTGATAATCAGTATTGTACAGATAAAAGCAGGTATAGTATGAATTCAATTAAGAAACTTTTCAATTTGGGACAGTTTTTTGATTGGTTACCCCCAAAAACGCAAGGCATTATGGGGATGTGAAAGTAGAGAATGCTCAGTTTTATGTGTTGCGCCGGAAAGACTCCCTTGTAGAATTGAGACCACYACATTTAGCATTCAGGCACTTTTGGCATATTTTTGGCAATGCATTAGACTATCAGCATCATTATTCTCGGCACAGTTAATCTATTAACTATGTTCTCAGTTAGGGTTAAGGTAAGCTCGCTTCCGTGTGAAAATAGGAGTTGCTGTCGACATTAGGGCCCTTTAAACTGCAGGACGGCAACGACGACGACGACGGCAAGCATACAATAGCACGAATTGCGCTATTCAATAGATACTCGTTGGAATGTACGAAATACTGTGCATCATTACCGTCTTATGTTGAAAGTAAGACGTGAAATGTCCTATTTTTACGTAGTAAAGAGAACGGCTACGCCAAAAGCTTATCTTTGCTGATTTTTGTTATGAGTAAAGCGCTCCCAAAAGACGTCATTTCACTTTAAAACGGGGATGCTTATTGAGTAAATTTCTGGGTAAACACGAAATAATAATACAATAGAAGGTTGAAGCGCCTCAATTTCGCCGACGTTGTCGCCCAAGTTGCCGTCCTGCAGCTTAAGGTTCCTATTCTTACACTGACGTCCTCATCCTGTTCTTGGCCCACTTTCGAGAGGGACATTCGCGATGAGGTCCTAGAACCAATTAGTGAAGTGTTGGATAGGGCTTCGTCACGAGACTGTCTATCTTCGTCATCTGTGTCTTGGATGAGTTCATCACTGGGAAACTGGGACTGGTCAGTGACGCAGAGGGACTCTAGCAACCTGTCAAGAGAAATAAARATTATGATCAGTAAAGCGTATTAGAACGGATTCTCTAGGAAAATTAAATCATGTCGACATGTAACAGTCTATGCATGTAGTGAAAGGATCGTCTAGTTAACCTATTGCTTGGTTTTAATCGGTTGAACTATAAAGCATCTCGTTCTAAATGACCTGCTTTGGGCAAACACATACCTTCATGTTCAGTTATTCATTTACATTCCTATAGACCCTTTTCTCAAGGCATCAAACTTGACGGGCCATAAAATTGAAAAACGCAAATTCAATAAAATTGAGAAGCCAGTTTTATATTTAAAGAGGAGAATAATCGATTTTATGAATTGTTATTAAAAAATTTCATAGCAATGGATGATAATACTCGTGTTCTGGTATTGTGGCCCGTCAAGTTCCTTAAATTTGGATGTGCACGCAGCCTTGAGAAAACGTCTAAGACATAGTGTGAATAGAATTAGAAATGTCAACAGTAGCAACCGCACAAGATGGAATATTGAATCCGAAAAAAATTTGCTTCTTGATGATATTAATGTTGTTATAATGATGATGATAACAACGATGATGGTAGTGAAATCACGACGTGGAAAATAAGGGTACCTCATATAGAATATCCGTCCACTGCTTTCCTTATAGACAAACATGTCTCTTCTATTCTTGATGCCAAATCGATCCAAAACACCTCGAATTATTTTCCACCCGAGGGAATTGCACGCGCGTCCCGCGGGATCTTGGAGACGTGGATGAAACGTCAGGTGTCTGTACCATTGACTTAGGCATTGGAAGTGACCAGGTTGGAAGATGAATTCGCCCTGTACGTAACGACCAAGGTAACCTACAGAATACAACGAAGATAGGTTAAAAAAATCAAATTACTACAGACAGAAGGGCAAAACTCGGTACAAATAACTTTTCAATTGCCCTATTTCACTATGACGTCACATCAAAACAATCTATTGTTT